TATTTTATTAGGATGTGAAATGTGCTTTAAAAATGCACTCGATCTTACAAATGGATTTGATTTAAATTGAACGGTAAATCAGCAAACGTGAACGTAGCAGGACGATAGTGAATTTCGATTTTAGTTGTTTCTTCATGCTTCGATTGTGAGAAAGGGTTTAACAAATGAGACAGAACAGGCTTTCGTGTAATAATTTCTTGGAGTGATATGCTGTGGAATCTATCGACACAGAACTGACATTTATACACGTATCGCGTGTGTACAATACAGCACGTAACTTACACGGTACAGGGGAAGTTGAGAAATAAATTTAACGACAGTAAACGGTCGTGAAAAATATTATGCGGTTTATTATGCAGTTCTCACCCAGAGAGCTAGTAACAATTTTACGAGATAGTTGGTTCGTTAATTAAAACTGGAAGTTAGTTTTTCAAAAACTCGACCAGTTTCCTTACCGCTTACTTGACGCCACTGGACAATAAAATCGGTTGGAAAAGGAACGAATCGATGATAAAGATTGGAGGTGTGGTGGTCGATCCAGATAGTCGCGGTGAATTGTCGAGCAACGTCTCGGCCAGTCACATAAAATTCGCTCACCGAACGGCTCTACTTTTCGTCGATTCGAAACCAGTCCGTGCAGTTGGTTGATCAACCATTGCGGCGAACATTTCGTTTGTACCAGGTGAGTTGTTGCGATTGCCTCGAAGCGAATCCGGCCTATTTTCGTACGACGATCGTGCGGAAGATACAACGTGATACAACGTCGCGCGTATAATGACGGGTATTTAGAAAATCCAACCGTTTAATGGCGGTACATTCTCGGACAGCGGTTGCCAATGTTACAAGCGCGGCGGAGAAGAATTTGTAAAAAGAATTTCACGGGATCTTTCAGCCAGAGTCTTTAGAAATTTTCTTCTCTGTGAAGCGTAATTCGGAGGTTTTTAAAGATCAGAGGGGAAGATTTTCAACCTATTAAACCAAACATTCAGAAACTTTGAAACTTTGTACTTTAGAAAAAAAGAAAACAAAAAAAAATTCAGGAGTTTCGTTTAGGCGAAAATAAATGCTTAAATAAATGTTCCAATGTACAGGGTGTCTCTGTACATTGGCAGTACAGTCAAAAATAAAGAATAAAATTTTTTCGTACAAGGTTTAGTTCTTGAAACATATTCAAAATCTATTCTCTCGAAAATGAAGCTTCGAAACGAAAGAATTTCGTTCAGGTTTGCTCGTAGATCTCCCGTTAATTATTCTTTCTTGTCACGTTTAGAATTAATCAAATTCCAGATATGCTCGATAAATGTTTAAACTCGATTTCCTCGAACGAACGAAGCATCTTGCGAGAAAGTTTCATTCTTTATTTTTGAGAATCCTTCTCCTCGCTTGTGCTACCTATGGAAAACCTCTGTAGAAGAGAGAAGGATCAGACGAAAAGAAATCGAAAGACGCAAAGACTCGAGGATCATCTGCAAGCAAGCAGGAAGAGAGAGAACAGAGACACGCAATTGGGAACCTCTGATGGAAGGGTGTAATCGAAACACGTCTGCCGGTAGACGCATATCAACGAGGATTCGACATACCAATGTGTCCGAGTGTGTGTGGCGATCGCGCGAATAGTAAAAACTATTCGTTCGGCGGCGTCGTCTCTCTCACCGCGCGATGATTCGCAAAAGCTTTGGAGGGAGAAGTTAACCGTTCCTCCGCCGAGCTATTTTTATGGCACTTAAACTTTCCGCCGAGCGGCAACATGCTGGAGCACTTGACGAACACTTGTGCGCATTCCGTTACGTTTACGCAACGTGTTCGAACAGCGCGCCGCACTGTGGCGAGCGTAGAAGAGGATCTCTTGGATATGAGGCTGCGCGTTCCGCCGTACCGGGGATCAAGTGGAGGGCTTTTTAATTTTCTAGTAGGCGCGGCTTTCCACTCCGAAGTCGTCGGGGCCCTTTTTTTTCGAAGGTCCGCCGTAATAGTTCTCCACTCCGGTGATCCATCGGTCTTCAGACGAGGCCGACTGCCACGCCGTGAGAAACTCGCTCACGTTTTCGTTCTTCCTCTCCTTTTCATTTCCTTTCTCTCTGTTGCTTTCTTTTTTTTTTTTTTTTTTTGCTTCCTTCCTTCATTCGGGTTTTCAGTACCACCTCACGAGGAAATTTAAATGAAATGTCGCGAGTTTCCTACCGAAGGCGCATTTGATTTGAAACCAATTGTGAAGAAAGGTTACACGCAGCTTCCATACAGTTTGACAGTTGCGACCCTAAGTTCGTACGTGTGTATGTAGTTTTTGTTTGAGAACGATGGAAACATTACACGGGTCGTTTCCGATCTCGTTCTCCGCGATGATACAAGAGTTTGGCTAGCGGAACGTCGACTTTGATTGAGCTGTCATCGATAGATAGCTTTCACAAGAGATGATCGTCTTATCTCTCTGGGTTGATGCTGGGTTATCGAACAAAGTCACGCTTCGAATTTGAAAGCCCACTGATTGGGTACAAATAACAGGGAGCGCATCCTTCTATTTGAGAAGAGCCGTTCATAAAAACGATAGTTCGTGCTCCATAGAAAATTTGTTTGAAATTCATATTATATACCACAGTGGTAAGATGGTATATAGCTTTGAGGTTATCGCGTGTGACATTATACCGAGACACTGAATGGCCAAAGAATAGAGTCGAGTGTAATTTTATTGCCTGTCGTGTTCGTAATTCGAAACTGAAAATTTTATCAAAACCCGAAAGCAGAAAACTAATCTTGCGAATCTCTACGATTAGAACAACAGAACTCGAGAACTCGAAGAGAATTTCGAATTAATTCGAAATGCTTCTTCCCCCTTGGGGTTGGAAATTATAATTTCTTCAGAACAGAAAGATCGCAATCACCTTTTAGAAATAATCAAAAATGATCAGAAATTTTATCGGATCCCGTAAAAAAAGATTCCAAGATCCTTCGTCTGTCTGATAGTTATGAAAAGAGAGAGAGAGAGAGAGAGAGAGAGAGAGAGAGAGAGAGAGAGAGAGAGAGAGAGAGAGAGAGAGAGAGAGAGAGANTTCGTGTCCCATCGAGAAAACGCAAGGCAAGACGGGGTTGTAGGGAGGGAAGACAGTGCCAGCAGCTAGGCTGGCAAAAGCCATGGAAAAGCTGTACGCGTGACTGGTATCGACATTTCAAAATTGCTACGTTCGACGTCCATTGTCGCGAGTTCTGCCTTTCCAGAGGTGTACGTACCTACGCTCATACACACCCACACCCCCCTCGCCCCCCCACACACACACGAGCGCGTCTATACACGTAGAGAGAGGTTGCTGTGGATGGTGCCGGTGCGAAAAGTCGAAGAATATTCTCTAGTAGCGCGAGTCTCCGGCTCGTTCGAGTAAGAACGTAGAGTTTCGAATGGGACAAAACGTTTCGTCTTCGTCGAGTCGCAAACTCGGAGGGGGGCGAGAGGGAACACGGAATTGAAGTGGAGCGTCGTCTGTGTCGTTGTCGTCGTCGTTGGAAGCAATGGGCCGGTTGGAGAATGGCAGAAAGAGAGGAGGAACGGAGAAAGAGGGAGAGAAGGAGGAAAAAAAAGGAGTCGTTCGCTGGAAATTATCGACGATACGTCAATAAAATGCATTTGCGGCAGCCATTGTGTCTTTCGTGAAAGACCGTGACAGACGACGTTTCGTGTCCGATAGATCGTCGAGCTCAATCGCCTCTCGTCGTCGTCGTCGTCGTCGTCGTCGTCTGGTTTGATTGAGTCGCGTTGCGTGCTCCTCCAAACGGGCATGAAACTGTATTTACTTAGATTTATGTGGCGTGCCGGCCGTGTAACAAATCGCGTTCCGTGGAAATGCAATTTTCTTTCATCGTGCCCCGTTGAAATATGGAGTTCGCGCCTACAAATAACCTTTCGAACTGTCGGCTCTTCGAACGTGTTCATTGAAAGGCTTGCGTTCATTTCAATACCTGTACGCATTTCAATACCCCGTTTACTTAGAATTTTATGGGTTAAAGTATCATCCCAAGTTGATTTACAATACCGTACGCAATTTCACATAATTCGCGGAATTTATTTTAGATTCGACGAATCAGAGCGAACGGAAAGCAACAATTTTCCAGTAGATGACGAGACGGTGCACGAATATGTAAATATCGTTCCTTGGTCGGTCGATCGGTTTGTTGCACTATTTTTCGAGGCGAGCACGTCCGTAATTCCGGGAACGATGGCATCGGGGTAAAAGGTTTCAAACTAATTCGCGGCCGTATTAAGTGCACGCATCGCTCGCGCTCCGAACGGTTATTCGATATCACGGAATCGAAACTTGGTAATGGTGGAACGTGATGGTTGCTGTTGAAACTTTGCGCGACGATTACTCGGAAATGCGCGATCGATGCTGACTGAGCTGACTCATTACCGCGTCAGTGAAAGCAGCATTCTTTCAGCGTCTCTTCGGGTATTAGACGTGTTCGTATCGTGTTACCGGTCGTCTCGACAGGGTTTCTTATTTAGGGAAGTCTTTCGCGCGAACGGCCCTGAATATTAGCCACCCCGAGAACTTTCGACTCATAATTACGATCCTGTTACGCAGAAAGAAATTTAATATCGAGTTGTTGGAGGTATGCCGAGGCTGTAAAGCTTCTATTTATGAGAGACGTTTATTGGATTAGGGATTCAAATATTTTCGGGAATGTTTCTGGTTGTTCAACTTCCAGTTACTTACCTCTGGATGTAGTTTGTTTCTATATAATTCAGTCCCCTTTATTTCGAGCAAAAGAGAGAAGCGTATTGAAATATTTCTTCACAAACAACAGATTCCGTAGATTTTTGTTAGAAATTCCATTTTATTTGTATTACGAGGGTGATGAGAAATCCAATTTTTTTTTCACGAGCGAAGGAGGAACGAAAGAGGGATAAAGAATGAATGAACAACCGCTCGAGGTATACAAGAATATTTTATTCGTTCGAAAGTAACAAATATACAATTCTTCCAAATAAACTTGCATCGATTTTGTTTTTAAAATTATCCGATTTTCACCGCGAATCGTAAGGTCGTTTTCTACGCGATTCAACGTCCGTCCCGTTCACACGCGTTGTTCCTCGCCGTGCTTTTCTTCCCCGGGGAGGGGAAACGGTGAACGGGCCACGGGGCAGTGGTATTGTCGACGTGCACGAAAGAAACCACAGGGCGCGTACATTTTTTTTCAACAAACATCTGAATACAAACGTCAACGGAAACGGGTTCGTGGGTTTCGAAACCGAGAGTGAGAATTTTGGCACGATCGTCCTCTTCCAGGAAACCGGTGGCCACTCGCGTGTATGCTCGTGCATCCGTATAGTATATAACAAATCGATAAAAACATCTTTCATTTTTTTTCCCCCCTTTCTTACTTTTCCCCGTTCGTTACACTTTATCATTCTTTTTTTTTTTCTTCGTTTTACTTCTTGTATCGGGTTGGAACGATTTTTTATTCTCTTCGTGTTTTCGTCGTTCGTTCCTTGCTCGATGTTTCTCTATCTATCTATCTAACTGTATATATATATATATATATTTATATATAATTATTTATATATATATAAACATCCGTCTAAATGGATATATCCATTTTCTTTTTCTTTTTTTTTTTTTTGCATCTGCTTTGCGTCAGTCCTTAGCACGATATGTACACATATATAACCATCTAAATGCACAGTCTCTAGTTTATTTCGTTTCACGATGATTACAATCCTCGTACAGATCCGACGATGTCGCCTCGAGCACAACGTTCGTCTTACAAAAGAAAAAGAAAAAAAAAAAAACGAAAAAAAAAAACGAAAAAAGGAAGAGAAAAGAGACGAAAATTTCTATGTACAAAAGACGGGACAAACGGGAGAGAGACAGACACAGTTTTGTCCCGCGCCGGAAATTAAGGCAGTGTTTTCGATGAGTCCGTCAAACGGAGAAGCGACTTGTTCTCCGCGCCGAAGCAACCACGGGTTCGGGTTCACCACTTTTTGTTCGTTTCGTTTCACTCGACTTGTTCGTGGACTTTCACTCACCACAGGAAACGTCACGAGATGGCAACGAAATTCCGTTCGTTCAGAGCCACGGGCCTAGCTGTGCCTCGAGAATCGTGGCCGCGTCCGTTCTGCCCATCACTCGAAGATGGTTCAGAAGGTCGGTCACCGCGGTCGGCTCGTGGTGTTTCGCTTCCCACAGGTCTAGGATGTGCTCCGTCGGGCTGGACTTGGTCGCGAAGTAGTTGATGTACCTGCAAGTTGAACGAGGCCAGGTGTTCCTTATTATCGGAACAAAAAAAAAAAAAAGAAAAAGAAAAAACAGATGTCAGCGATGGACAGAAATTTTTGATTCACGATTGGGATATTTCTCTACAGTAGAAGGTAACCAAAGGCGGACAGAGGCAATACGCGGTACATTCTTAGAATAGAAAATTAGAATAACAAGTTAGGAAATATAAGTGCAATTAGGTTTTAGGTAATACAATCGATGTTAAATTGTCAAGTATAGTATAAAAGTTAAGTATAGTGTAGGTAGAGTGCAAAACAGTGGAGAGTGAGAGAAACAGAGAGAATGGAAAAAGCGAAATGTAAATCAAGTCCACTTTTCTCTGGCTGTGGAGCCGGAAATAAAATAAAAATTATCTATCTATCTGTTTCTCTGCAGTCGAGAAATTCTGAAATATTGAAAACGACCAGTTTCTGAAAAAGACGACTTTTGAAAGAAATTTAGAGTGAAGCTCCATTAAATTTCATTAAAGAGTCAGTAAATATCAGTCTTCCAGCATTCTGCTCTTATTGATTCCTACGTCGGAAATGATCGCAAACATCGTTTACCGTAAACGAGACTCGCAAATCAACGGCTGTCGAGAACAATCAACTCTCGAGGGACGTCAATATTTGAAAGAGGTACTCTGTAACAGTACAGCGTGTAAAGAAACCGTATGTACCGTCTCCGGAAGATACATCTCGTCAGTCAGAGCCGAGTTAGCAAAGCAAGGAGCAAGTAACCACCGAAGGGGAAGGAGGAAATCTCGAAGATTATACCAACCTGTCGACTTGAAGCCTCTGCGCCAGCATTCTCCAGTCGTTGCCGAGAGCGTTCGGTGGATCGAGGCATTGGCATAGCTGTTTCCTCAGGGACCTGGTAAACCGAAACGGTCTGAGGGTGGTGGAGTCGGTGGTGGCGTTATTAGCATGCCCGCTGCTGACCACCGTCACCTCTCTAAGCGGTCTGGTCACGCTTCCGGACGAGATCAATTGCTTCGCGCCGTCGTACACGATCCTGAACACCTGCCTGGTGTCCGAGTTCCCTTGCGACACCTGCAGCTTGTAGCTTCGGCTGCTGGTAGGGCCGAACGCGGTGTCCAAGCCGAAAGTCACGTGCTTCGTGTTCTCCTGGCAGTTCCACACGTCTCTGAACGAGATCTCCTGCCGTTCGGTCGGCGACTTGCTCTGCCACTCGTTGCCAACCTCCTCGAGGCTGACGCACAGCGACTCGCCGTTGTCTTGGAACAACAATGTTCTCGGTTTGTCCAGCAAGTAACCTCTCGCCTGAGATTCTCTGTCGACGATCGCTTTCGTGGCGGCTTTCGTGTCCTCCACGGCGTAGACTCGGACGCAGCATTGGCCAGCTTGGCTGGCGAACAACGCTAGCCGCAGTCTCTTGGTGGCGATCACGTTCTCGCAGCTCTGGCCAGCTAGAACGTAGCCTCTCAACTGTTCGGTCACGATAAACGCTTCGGCGTGGTCCAGCTGCGTGAACAGCGGCGTGTTGATCGTCTCGTTGCCCAACGTTAGCACCCTGCTCCACGTGATCGATTGATGATCCTTGGAAGAGGCGATCGCTGTGCCGTCCTCGACGCTCAGGCCGTCGCAGGCCCAAACGCTTAGCTCCCACGTGGCTGGGTGAAGCATCGCGCAGTGCTCGAATTGGAGGATCACAGGCTTGTTGAAGGTCGCCGACGAAGGGCCGCACGTTACCACCGCGGATAGTTGCGTGATACCGTCTGGAGGAAACACACAGGAATCTCTAGCTATTTACGCTTGCACGCGTAACGTTGCGAGTTTTTTTTTTTTCATCTAAATATCATTTTCCCCTGAACGACACCGCGAATCGATTCCGCGTGTATTATTACACACGGTATTACACGTACGGGTGTTACACGTTTGCAAACACGTTTGCCAGGAATCGAATTCAATCTCTGGAGGATCATCTCGTCCCGAAACGTGTCCCAAAGCGCAGCGTTCGCGAGGCTACGCGCGCGATGTGTGTCTATTACACAGGCCGCAATTTGCAATTACACGGATCGAACGGGCGAGACTCGGAAGCGTTCTCGCCTCAAAGATAGCCGGGAGACCACACTCCATCGAGACCATCCGCGTCAATTGAATCGTAATCGAGCCGGATCGATGAGACGTTCGTTGCTGCGGAACCGTCACGGCCAGCGCCTGGCAATTAATAATGCACGCACCACTTACCGGGTAATCGAGGCCTAAAGCGATCCTCGTTCAGCACGGCCAAGTAGAGCTCCTCCCTGAGTGGTTTCGGCACGGCTCCCTCGGGCACCGACATCGATATGCCCGCGTCCGGAAGCACGAGAAGCGCGCCGCGCGTGTTCACCGCCGCCCCGGCCACGTTTCCGGTCTCGAGCTTTGGCAAACGAACGCTCTCCGAGGCGACGTTGTACGTGGAGTCGGAGGACGGGTACGAGCTAGTGACGCTGTTCTCGCAGTCGGAATGGATCTGTTTGTCGCTGCATGATTCCTGCGTCGACGTGCTTGGCGTCGGCGACATTGGCGATGGTTGCGGGGCGATCGACAAGTGGGGCACGTCGTAATGGTGCTCGGAGAGGGATCTCGACATCGACAGCTTCGGGTCGAAAGGATACTCGTAGCAGGCCGGTACGCTCGTCGCCGTTACATCCGGCTGCAGGCTCAACTTCTTGTCCTGGTCCGGGAAGAACTCCGGCTGGAATTCTGAAACGCACACCGCCGAGCCACGGCTCGTGGGTATCTCTGCGCGCTGCGGACAGACGCCGCTGTGATACTATTCCGATTTTCACGAATAACACGACCACGTCCGCCACTTTCATCCGATCTATCAATAACGTATCTACGACTACTGTTAACGCCACAGTTACCGACGACCAGAGCGTCGAATTTCCATCATCAGAGACGTCAAAGTCGACAACACGACTATGGGGGCACACAAGCTTTTATTTGTGGATTTTACGCAGAATCATTCGAGGTCTCTAAAAATACACTGTTTTATGTCTGTAAAATATTTAACAAAACTGATCCTACCATTTTGGTAGTTCCAAGTAGTGTTAAGCAGAAGCTGCGTTTGTTACGACGAGTGATAAGTTTCTAAAACTTATACATCAACTGACAAATAAACGATAAATAAACGGAACACGGATGAAAGTAGCGAACACGTGGCATCGATCAAATTTCGAAATAGCATCATTTCGATCGAGTGTAGCGAGGACCGACGAAGGACCGAGAACGAGTTCAACAACTTCCTCGAAAGTTGACCGAAACGTGAAATGTAATTACATCCAGCTGTGAAACATCGTGTCTCGCTCCTTCGCGTACAGCCAACGTGGCTGATTTTTTCTCGTTTTCTTTTTTTATTTCTCTTTTTCTTCTTCTTCTCTCTCTTCCATCTATGAAATGCTTACCGTTACGGGCCATGGAGTAGAGGGAATGGTCCCGACCTTTGCGCCTCAGAAGCTTTGCGAGGGAAAATGCCAGGCCGCCGATTACAGCGCACGCGACAGTCAAGCCGCCGTACAGAGCCACGTCCATTTGCCGGTTCGCTGTGAACATCAAACGACGTGTTTCTTTCTTATCCGCGTGTCTCGTGAACCGGTCGCGCGGAGACGTGCGACACGGCTACGTACAGGAATCGCGGGATGTTAATTACTTTATTATCGACACTGATTTTTATTCTATGCGTTCTTCGTGACCTCTCGGGACGTGTTACGCACGTTTACTGTCACTTGGAACATGATCAAAGTATGATTGATATAGTAACGTATGGAATAAATATTCCTGAGCGGTTGGAATGTTGTCACGTACAGTTAATTTCGAAACGCGTAAAGAGATAATTGCCTCCTTCCAGCTTCGACGCTGGAATTATGAAATTTATCAACGTAACAGATTTCCAGACGTTCAATTTAAAAAGGCTCGTAATTAGCAAAAACATGCAGAGACTTTCGACGCGAGTATATAGTCAGCAGCACGATACAAATTCGCTATTTTTAACGCTAACGAATCCGCTAGTTCGTCAGGAGATTAAACACAAGAAATTTTCCCAAATCGGCACAGCTAATTAGCGCTGATCGTGAATCGTCTGAATCCCGTGTGAAGATTCCCTTCGTTCCTCGAGGCGTGAGTCAACTCGAAATCACGCGCGCAAGCCCGGCCTACCGACTGTCCAAACCGAGCTGACGAGTGTTCCTTTCCGCGGAACACGCAACAGAAGCGAGAAAGCATGCCCGCTAATTCGAGACTTTGTTACGGGCATGGCGTTAAGCCGCGCGTCGAAAGATTATCGCCCTCTCCCCCGGCCGCCGGAGATTACAGTAACCGGCGGGCGTTAATTCCCTCGTTTTAAGGGGCCACTCGCCGATACGATCTCTTCGCACGGTCGTTTAAGACGTACCGTGCAAATGGCGCCGGTAATTCTCGCGTATCCGCGAAGCGTGCTCATCTGCGGACGAGCAGACCGACCACCATTCATGAATAATTTACGCGGCAACTTTTATACGCTTCTCGTTTTCTTCTTTCTCCTCTCTCTCTCTCTCTCTGTATTGCGATGGACCATGGGACGCCGCAGAGTTGGCAGCAGAGACGGTCGAGAAAGAAGAAGAAAAAGAAGAAGAAGAAGAAGCAGAAAAAGAGAGACGAGCGTTTAAACGTTTCCCCGCGTACCGCTAAATATTACGAGCGTCGTCCAAGGAAAGTTTTAAGCTCGGGCCGTTCCTCTCCATTTACGCCAAGTGGAGACGCGCAGTGTCCCGATTTCTCGTCCCCCTTCGCGGCGTTTTATCGTTTCACGTCGCGGCGCGGCGTTTACTCCGCGCTTACGACGATAAACATTCGGATCGTTATTGTGATTATTGTTATTATCGCGGCTCGTAATAAAAGGCAGCGCTCGTGGCAAGCTCCCTCGCGCGCGGAGAGGGATAATAATTTAAAGTGGTCGCCGTGTCGCTCGACAGACAGTGAACAGGATGGCAACAAAGACGACGTGGGACGCGATTAAAACCGCGAAAAACACTTCGGTGGGAAGAGACGGTCGGGAGGGCAGGCGAAAGAGAGGGCATTACGTCAACTCGTGCGCACCGCGATATTCCTGCGGTCGCCGCGTGTGAAATCGGGATTGAATTACGCTGTATGCAAAGTTTCACCGTGATTCGAGCGACGTTTTATGAATTATGTAACACGGGGGGAAGGGAGGAGGATTCATCGGTCGCTTCTTGTCGCGGTGCTCGACCGCTTGCTCGTAGACTCTCGATCCGAGCCGCCGTCGTAAATCGCGAAAGTTCTGCCGATATCAATTTACCGAAACGAGATGAGAAGCGATTGCACGAACGGGGTTGGAAGTTTTCTCCGAGCGAATGCTCTCTAAGCTGGAAAGTCTCGGGGCAGTTATTACGTCCGATTCAATAGCGAGGAAAAGGAAAATAGTGGCGTGTTAATCGACTCGCTGAAACAAGCTAATAATAACGCAACTCGAAGTATAATAATCTACACAGAGCGTTGAAGTTTCGCGAAAAATGAGAAGGTGCCATTGAGCACTTGAACCGATAGTATATTTTCAAGTAGTATAATCTTCGAAATGTGTCTTCGTTATTCGATCTATAAAAATCCATAAATAGTCCGTAAAGTGTCTCTGATATAAAACTCTGAGGTTCAACCGTTTGAACACGCGGAGTCTCATCGTTGAAGGCTCGAGTAATATCGCATCTCCATTGCAAAAGTTCTCCGCGAGAATTGACAATGAAATACGAAACACGAAAGTTCCTCGACAAAGCCAGAGTTTTAAACGTTTAGGCTCTAAAAACTTCCAACGTGTAATCTTTGGAAACTGTCGTCCGATCGGCAATCTCGCAAGTTCGCCGCTGCGAAACTTAGAAAAGAAAGAGAAGAAAAAAAAAAGAGGAAAGGAAAGAAGGGATAATAATTCTTTCCACGGTTTCCACCCTTCGGTCGTTTCATTGCCACGTTCGAGGTATACGCGTGTCTAGTTCAGGAGATTTTCGACAAATACCACCGTTGGTCTTCGGCGAGAAACCGGCGGCTGACGTTCCTAAGCTTCTTCCAATTTTAGAATGTCAAAGCCATTCCCGGTTGTAACCCCGGTACGTGACTCTCGGGAGAGAGAGCCGGCTTCTCGTTCTCGCAGGATCATGTGCGTCTGCTTGGCGCACGCTGCTCCCGGACACGTGCTTCGAACATCAATATACGCGGCGACGAAAACGCATACGAAGAAAGGAAGAGAGATAAGTAGCGAGAGGGAGAGAGAGAGAGAGAGAGAGAGGAAAGGACGTATTCCCTAAAACGCAATAGTTCCACGTCGTTAGCCGAGTTAGACAGGCTCTGTTTCGTCCGCCTGGATCGTTCGCGTGCTCCACCCTCCACAAATTGAAAAGTGCCGCGAGTGCGCACGGGGGTCGCTGAGATTTATTTTTCTTAGCGGCAATTGATAACGCTTCATAACCTCGACCTAATGTATCTGAAGCCTATAATTCATCCGGTACCCCATGAAATGCTCCTAGTTCCGATTGCCTTTTTCTGTTATCGCTCTTTCGCTGGGTTTTTTCCTCGAGGGTGCGGTATCTACTTCGAGATACTTTAATAGAACGCTCTAGGAATTTTTAGAAGATACATAGTCATTAAAAAAAAAAAAAAAAAAATTCAGAAAGATTACTCCAAGCGTTGCAAAAGTTTACTTAAATATACTTATGCGCTGGTCGAGTGTAACCACAGAAGGTTTTTCTCGCCAAGGGTTAACCGTTTCAGCGAAAAACTACCCTAAAACTTCGCTCCACCTGGTAGCAGGGCAATTCGCAACAGTTCTCGCGTCTTATCGCGGCTTTCGACGAAAATCGAAGTCTCGAGGGGTGGTTTCTACCCAACCTCTCTCACATACACACTCTCTCTCTCTTTCTCTCTTTCTCTGTTCGACCATCCGTGTTCAGGCCTCCGCCACGGGATAATGGCACTTTATTTGCATGCACGATCAATTTTCCCTCCCTCTGGTTGGAGGGAGGCGCGGGAGGCGTAACGGCTACCGATTACATAATTTTCTTCGATATTAAAGCGGGCCCACCCCTCTCCCGGCCGACGCGGGCCAGAATAGGGAGAGAATACAGCCTAGGTCGAACGGTATCGCGTGCAACTTTGATGTGGTTCGGTCGATAGAATCGTCCTGCTAACAGGGGGGAGGGAGTGCGCCGCGTCTGGATCTATACGGACCAGTGGGCCACCCTTGACTACCAGCAGCCAGCCGCCACACCTCATTGTTGCGACTGTTTGGACCGCGACTCGGCCCTTCGACGATCGTTCCCTGTCAAGCGTCAATAATTAACTGGTCGCGTAATTAAAAGTAAATACGACGGAGGGGCCGTGGACGTTGGCCGTTCACGTGGAAAACTTGCTCGGTAAACAGCGAACGGTGAGGCGCGGTGGCGAGGGGCGACGAGGGGGCAATTTTTCCTCGGGCTGGGAAGCGATTATTAAAGCGATGGCAAGTGACTGGAAGTTGTTGAGTAGGTGGGTGGTAAATTGGGTAAGAACGAGGGAAGGTATTTGAGCGTGAGCCGCGAGGATTCCTCTTGCGCTATAATGATTTGTGAATTAGTTATATCAGGGAACTGACAAGTTCCATAATTCATCCTCTGTTGTACAAATTTTGTAATATCGAACCGATGAGGGATGATTTACTTTGAAACTTTGATGCGCTTCGAATTTTTGCGCTGGTGTATAAATGCGCGGACGAGGCATTAATTTTATTAACACTTGATTCGTAACTTGTAATAGTATTTAGTTTGTAAACTAGTTGAAAGAGAGATTATCCAACAAGTTGAAAATTGATTTGAAAGTGAGCAACGACGCAAGACGAACGACAAGGAAAATGGTCGAAGGAAAATCGATCACTTGTTCTTTTTCATTAAAATGGGTGTTCTCGTACGCCAATGGAATTATTAATTACTTTGTAATTTGTAATATTTCGATACTAGTTGAAAGAGAGATTATCGAGAAAATCAAAAATTGCTTTAAAACTGAAGTCTTCAGTTCCCTACATCGCGAACAACGAGGAAGAAGCTAGAAGGGAAATCGATCGATTATTTTTTTTCGTCAAGATGGCTGTTCCATATACACCAATGGAATTATTTTCCTCTACATTAATCGTCCGACGACGCGCAACCACGTTTAAAGCGGCTCGCGATGCCTCCGACACTCGCATTAATATACCTGAATCGATGAATATCGTTCTTCAGAGTGGCGTTTAGCGAACGATCTCAGCCTGTTCTACTTTGCCGGCGCGGGACGAACGATTTCAATGGTATCTGATCGCGAACCGAGTTGCAGCGCTGAGCTATATAAACGGCGCTCACAAGCCGTGAAGAATCCATCTAAGAATGTCGCGCGACGAGTTAGACGCGTTTTCTTTGCAACTGGTCGCGCCCTGCGCCTACTCGTCATACTTCATTTCGATTTTCGCGCGTCGTCGCCGCGGAACTAATCGGGGTGGGTCTCGAAGCGCTTTGCGAATCGCTGTTGTCTGATCGTGACACAAAATCGCGACGTAACGGATGGACTTAGAATTATGAAATTTTCTCGTATATTTCTTTCTTCTTCTCTCTGGGAATCGAACGAAGAAAAAGAGTGAATTTTTTAATCGCGAACTTACCCTCTTCGGTCAAGTGTGCGCCTCCCATTTTCGTGCTGCCATCTGGAAAGAGAGAAATGAGAGACTCGTCAAATGCCAAGTAACAAGTACCAAAGTTTGTATTGTATGGTGAATTAATATTAATTTATGATTGCACGCAAAGCAATGATAGAAGCCTGCAATTATTCCGAAAGGTCTGATTGATCGTTTATATAAAGTTATTGGAATATTCACTCTGCTCGTTAACTCTGATTAATTAACTCTGATTGCACGCTGATCGCTAAAACTGCGGATTTTTCTACATATTTTTTATACAATTTTCACGAACGTAACTAAGGTTACAATTGCACTTGCAATTTCGCATTTTCAAAATGTCCCGGCAATGCGTGAAAATCCACAGTTTACCGATGTCACCTTCAACTCACACCGGTGAAAAAGTCCAAAACTCGGAATCTCCAGATAGATTTATTTTTCAAACACCACGAAAAGAAAAAGCTCCACATTACCGACAAAACCGCAGTCCGGTTAAACTCTGTGTTCGAATCATCGAACATTCGCTGTATCCCTTTCATCTCAATCTACGAAAAAAGAAATTTCCACCTTCCTGTAACCATGTCCACCACCCTGGCGATCCGTCGTGAGAAGAAGGGTGTGCGACAAGCTTCTATCGTTCTATACAGTGCATATTTTCTCTCGCGCGCGCGAACGAGGATCTCTTTCGCGAGGACGAGCGGAATGGGACAGATCGAAAGAGAGTCGTGACAAGTGGGATAGGATCTCGTGACTTACTGTTGCACATGCCGCCGGTGCAATTCGCCACGCTGATGTCCCTCCCCTGACAAGGTCGTCCACCGTGGCTGGGTGGTGGCTCGTCGCAGGATCGTCTCCTCTGTTGCTTGCAATCGGTGCTGCACACCGACCACGTCGACCATCTGGACCATCCTCCGTCCACCACTGTGCGCGTTCCCGGGAAAAGAAAAAAGAGACGAACGGTTCGAGAGGATCGTCTTTCTGTCGTGAAGGGTCGTTAAGGAGATCCCGGGATCGACGTTAAAGCGATGGGTAAAAAGCTACACGGTGGAAACGGGGGACCGACGTGGCATCGTAACTTGCTCCGCGATCCCCGTGAGTCTTGTCCAAGTGCCATACTCGTCAATTCGGTCGCGAGAGTTTCGCTTCCTCTCCGTTTTAATTGACTCGTACCCGATCCCGCGTGGAAAAAAACAAAGCGGACGACGTGTCCCGGTACGCGATTTAATCTTCGGTCGCGATTCGACTCGTTGCGACGCGATACTTACAAATGGTTCTTCCTTCCTTTCAGCCTCCTCTATTTTTCCTTTCTTTAGTTTTTGAAACGAAAAATGGAACGTTATGGATGCTACGTTTTTACGTAGATTATATCACGTTTGGTACATTTAACTACGGTACGTTCAACGTTAACGATTACTAGGTTTTCGCTTCTTTTTTTTTTTTTTTTAATTTGGTGATTTTGGTTTTTTAAGCGAAATTACAGGTGTTTACACTTACCTAGAGTGTTGGTGAACTCCTCCAGAGTGGCGGCTATTCCGAAGCGAGCGTTAGACAGAAAGACGTATAGGTGCATTATCGAAAGCGGGACAGACAGTTAGTGAGAAAGACGTGCGCACACATAAGCGACAGTCAATAGTACCAAATAGACTTTCTAATTAACCCCGCAGTGTCTCGCTGTTCTCGCTCGCGGGACCAAACGGGTATGCGTATGGTATTTCCCAATTACCTGTCGTTTACATTCAAGACATCGAGCCATCGTCGACCAACGATAATGCTCAAAACGGGCGACCGTATCAAAATTCCGCGAGTGCAGCGTGTCAACGCGAGCCAACCAGACACCGGGCGAGGGTTAATATTTCACTCGTCGATTCTCCTCGATTCCCCGCCTCCCCGTTTCCCGTTTGGTCGTCGCCTCCGACGATTTTCAATGGAACTGCGTACGCGCACGGCCGATCGTGCGTGCAGGTGTCCTCTCCGGGACGTCGCGAGACGTTTTCGAAAGGTGAATACGATTTAAAAGAGCCAACAACCGTCTCCTGTTGAGACGTTCAACGATGCGCGCTAGAGGGGAGGAAGAGAGAAGCTCGTAAATCAAACGAGAGAGCCGTACCCTCTCTTCTCCTCTCTACACTCCCTTTGGCAACGGTAATATCGGTTTGTCGTGGCAGAACCTGCTCCCGCGTCGCGTCGCGTCGCGTCGTTCCATTACTGTGCCATTTACAATCGAAGAGAAGCGTAAAGGATCTATTCTCCTCCTGCTCTCTCGTTCGTTAGCTCCAGCTATCGGATAGAAACAGACGCTTTGGTAGGGGCACGCATACACACGCACCATACGCAAGTGTGTTGGCGAGAAGAAACCTCGGCCTCGCGGAATCGGAGATCGGCGCGCGTTCGGTATCGACTTTAACGAACCGTGATGCTTCCTTGAAAATCTCATTCTCTGTCCCGGGAGGTAATGGATTCGCGGGACACTTACCGGGACAGGCGATGTTGCAGTCCATCTTCTGCTGAGACGGACCCATGCAAGGCTGGCCGCCGTTCATCGGAGCGGGGTTCGTACACGTTCGCGTCCGTTTCTGGCCACCTTTCGCGCACCTCGAGTGACATTCGGACCACGCGGACCACGCCGACCATCCTCCTTTCACTGAAATGAAATTGAAACATGTATATACAAGGTGTTTCACAGGACTTGTGGGACCCACTTCGGTATGTAATTGTAATCGCCTAAAAATAATGAAAAAAGGTCATATATATGTTCTATTTGTCTTTGTTTATGATATATAATTTTTTGTTTTAATTACTTATACAAAAGATGCTCGAAATGACCAGCTTGCACTTGAAGACAAGCCTGCACGCGTCTTGTCATTCATCTGGTTACTCTCTCTATCATTCCTGGTGTTTCTCGAATTTGTCGGAAGCCTTGCTCTATTATATTTCGTAATATTTCAGCATGTTCAATCGATGTTGCGTATACAATAGATTTTCTTTCATGTGACTAGTTAAAGATTCAGCAAATTTCGCAATACTCTCTAAATCAGTTGAGTTCTTAGTAATAATCGTAATACAATAATAATAATAATAATAATAATAATCGTAATAATAACAATAACAATAATAATAATATACTAATAATCATAATATTCGCTCCATTATCACTTTAAACACGATTTTATACGACATGTATTACGATTATTAGTATTATTATTATTATTATTACAATCAGCTCCCGAAGTGGGTCCCACAAGTTACCAAACACCCTGTATATTAATTTTGTTTCGAATAATATTGTTCGTTAATATTTTAATTTCGTTTCTGTCTGTACTTTGGTATATTTAGGCCGCGTATGTTTCGCTTCTGAACTGTGTGTCTTACAATTTTTATAATAGTGCCGAAACCGTAATTGTCAAGAAAAGTCAATCAACAAAGGAATAAATTTAACTTGAAGGTATTATCTTAACAAACAATTTTTTCACGATGTCGAAATTAATTTAAAATTAAACATTAGCGATACACATGTTACCAAGATGTTAGTACATGACTTTTTAAAAAAATTCTTCGTTTTAGAATGAAAATTCCAAATGATTTGAACGGAAGGTTCACTGTGAGGTGTATACCTCCCACGCGGCACGGAACGTGTCAAGTTTCTCCGGAGAGGAACTATTTACCTCCATCGAGAAACATTTCAAATATTTTATTCAACGAATAATTCTACAAAATTGTATACCTACGTTCTTATTAATTAATTTAAAAATTGCATCTCTCTACGGAGAATGAATAGAGTTTCAGAGTCATTCGCTGTTATTATCATTTTGCATTCCTTTGAAAGGGGACGTGGAGACGAATCACGAGATGTGTAACAACCGTGCAATTAAACGCCGTCAAAGCAAGGAGAACTCACCGTAAACTGTGAGGCTGACAGGCTCGCTAAGCCTTTTGGCCGCAATGTTCTCCGCGACGCAAGTGTAATTCGCCTGGTGGCTGAGTTTCGCTTGGCCGACCAGAAGGTGTCCCTCGCTAGACACTAAAAGCGTGTCCGACTCCGTGTCGACGGGGACGTTATTTCTTAGCCAGTAGACCCTCGGCGGTGGCACTCCCACAGGAGGAAGACACCTGAGTTCGGTGCTCTGGCCTGCCTCCACCGATACCGAGTACGGCGGAGACTCGAATTGCTTCTTCAGGTCTGAGAAAATGGGATTTATGGCTCTTAGAAAGACGAACGGATCACGACCGGTCTGGGGGAGGAAAAAAGAAATAGCGGTGGATCCGAAAGATAGAAACGGGAACGAAGGTTGTATTGCATTAAAGATAATGGTGACAAATAAATTTTACGAATCGAAGGAGATTTATGGGCAATTTGTCGAAGGGAAGAAATAATCTCGGCGCTATGAAAATTTACAGATGGAAACGAAATAGAGAGCGGACAAGAAAGACTCGGTGAGTAAAATTTAGTGAATTGAAAGACAATCGAGATAAATGAGTATATATATATATAACAACAAAGAAGAATTTTTCGAATTGAAGAATATTCTGACGTAACAGAATACATTAATAAATGCGTCGTTAATCACGTGGATAATAAAGCTCGTGGGATCGACGGACGACAGGCTGGCGATTCATCCACGGCATTTTCGCGGAGCAAAAGTTTTTGTCCCGAACGAGAGTTACATAAGCACGAGGCACCGGACAAACGGTCCTTTCCTAAATTGATTCTCTTAGAAACTCCATGGTCGCCGGTCGTTGTGTTGCCTCGCATTAAGGGGGCGGAATTAAATAATGACCTCGCTTAGGAGAATCAAGATAATTACGAGGGGCCAGAAGTAAGACGAAAGTCGTGGGCTATCCCGACAGCGGGGCAAACAACTGTCCACTGTCCGAGCATTTATTGACAAAAGTTCTTAGAAGAATTGAGATGTCTCGCGTTAAATTGGAACTTCTACGCGACTGGCCTAGCCACTCGATTAATTTCATAATTCATTGCCCGACATAATCAACAACACACTCGTTGGAAATTCAATTGTAAATTGTCCAGAGAGTTCTCCTTCAATTCGCAGCCAGGAAAAATATAGCAAAGTTAATGGTAATCTTGAGAACGACAAAAAGTATTATTTTTTTCACACTTACAGGCGACATCGACGGTCGCAGGTTGACTCTTGATCTGCCCGGAACCCGACCAGGCGATACACTCGCATTTGAACTTGTCCCTGCCGAAATATTCCTCGATGTGGTCTCTAGTTACGTTCAATTCGCAGTCGACGATTCTGGTGCCGGTGTGGGGGTCCACGAAGTCCTGTTGCTGCGAGTCGTCCGCCCTCGCGTCGTTGCACCGGAAGTAGATCTGCAACGCGTGCGCGGCTTTGCAATGTAACGTGGCCGGTTTGTTCTTCACCACGAAAGAATCGACCGGTTCGGTGAGAAACACGGGCAGATGGCCTCCCGCCTCGGAGATCAGCTCCGTGTCAGTGGCTATCGTCGCGGAAGGCACGTCGTCCTCCTCCAAGAGATAGGAATCCTCTTCCTCCGCGGCATCCTCGCCTTCTAGAAGAAAAACCAACAATTTCGCTGAATACTAATTCCCGTACTTTTCGTGGTTTTCGACTCAGCACAATTCACACAATTACTCTTCTTTCTACTTTCTCGAATACAAATTTCAAGATAACTTTAATTCAATTCCAAGTCTGAAAATGTCGATGAAACTCCCGTTCGTTAATTTCTTTTCTGCACGGTGAGCTTAAACATAATCGGGCTCAAGAGTATCACACGCGTACACGATCACGACACATCTGTCACAATGGAGGATCCCCGCGCGATTTCGCGTCGAATTAAAATCAACCGGACGATAATCCCGAATCTGGCGGACAAATCGAAACGAACGTCGCTGCTTATTATCGGCTCGTGATAAATTCATAGAATTGGATTATCGTCATTAACATGTGGCAGGAGTCGAAGCATGGAGAGGTGGGGCGGTGCCGACAATCAGGCGGGGATCAGGTTGGAAGCGCAGTCAGTCATTTGAATTCTAAATACACGAACCCTCTCCTCTCCTCTCTCTCTCTCTCTCTCTCTTCTCTCTTTCTCTGTTTCTCTGCCCTCCGTAATCGTAATTTACGATCGAGTTATTAATTCGCGCGGACATTATTCACCAGCCCTGGAGGCTCGTTCCATCGGAATCGTGAAAATTCTATATTTGCTTGTCAACAATGGCGAACGGTTGGTTACACCCTCCCCCTCCCTCTCCCCCTCCGTAAATCCTGACGCCGCGGCCCATTAATGCCGGGCGTCTCTTGCTCGCCGGAACGTCCTGTGCTCGCGAACAATCGGCCCGCTTGCACGCTCGCGCGAGAGGCTGCAGTAATGAATTTTCGGATTTACGCGGCGCACCGGTGCACAAGTCCGATGCATTTCCCGCCAACCAGCGGTTAGACCTTTATCCCCGTGCGACATTTGGCCGGGGGCCACAATTTTCATCGCGATAATCGTCCTCGATCTATACCGAGCTCTCTCTCTCTCTCTCCCCCTCTCCCTCTTTTTTCCTCCCCTCTCTCCTCGTCTCGAAAGAAGGGGAAGCGGAAAAATGAAATGAAATTGCCACTCGCGCTGCGACCGTGCGAGCAGGGACGAGGTATTCGAGGAAGTTTGTGTGTGTGTCTTTTTTTTTTTTGTGTCTATGGACCGAGAAAGTTTATTATATATTTTAGAGGCTTTTTTTGCTTTTTATATTAATAGACTGCGAATTTTTGCGCGTTTATTTAGAAAGTTTCAAAGCGAGGTATAAAGTATTCGAAATATGAACGATTCTCTCTACCGCGGACGATGACGAGTATTACGGGTTGGTTAGGATTCGATTAATTGGACTTTGGGGTGAGCAGGGTTCTAGATATCGATTGTAACGATATCTCTGCTCGAGGTGAGGAAATTAGTATGGATGGTGTATAGTGGAATCCAACGGTTTGTGGTCGACATAGTCGGGCAAACTGTTCCAGCGTTCTATGTATTTACTGTGATTGTTGTATCAATATTCGTTCTATGATGCTAAATAGATAGTTAGACAGTTCCATCTGCGCGGAGATATTCCATATAATTCTATCAAAAATCATTGTCGAATCAGTGTCGAATTCGCACATTTTCCACGAACAAAGTGTCATTCGTGTCTTCGAAAATGGAGACGACGGTCTTCGAAAATTCCCAGCAAATTCATTCTTATTAAGAGTGTCAATTCTCAATAATACAACTCGATCGCGGGTCGATCGTTCGAAATCGTTCGAGCATCCAACGAGAGAAGATTCGCCCGCCCGTCGAATGTACATTGCGATCGACAAACGTCACAACCGCGCGTCGCAGCTTTTTATCGTTGTCGTTGCTCGTTATTTTTCACGCGTTCCAACGGGAAGCAACCGGTCATCCGAATGAATCGAAGGGGAAGGGGGAAGGAAAAAAGGAAGGAAAAAAAGGAAATAAAAATCCGCCTCTCACGCCGAAAAAAATTGTCAGAATTTATACCCGATGGCGGTAGATACCTTCAATATCCGGGCGGCGGAGATAGGAATCGTGCAACGGGTAAATGAGAAGCGTCGGACGAATGAACGAATGGTGAAAAATAAAACCGAAAAAGGACACACTGGAGCGTGCATATCTACATATATGTATATATTCGCGAGAGAACGAGAAAGGACGAAGGAGAGGAGGGGGCAGGGGGGAGGGAAAATTTTCGGCAACGTGACGCAGAGCGAGTGGCGAATCGAAGCGCGACCGAAAGAGAATTTTCATCGGTTTTCGATAATGGATCTCGATCGACTGGCCGATAGGGTCCGGTGGAATCGTACGCACCCGCTAGTTCTCCCCTCCCCCGCCTGAATCAGTTCGTACGAGAATCGTCGTTAGCCACTTTGGACCACAGCGACGAGCCATATCGACACCACGCTGGCAGCCTCGATTTTCTGTGGGTTTAGATCGATTAAAACGAATATCGCGCAGCATCGGGGCTTGTCTGTCCGTGATGTTTTCTTTTCACACTCGCGCTTCCTTTTCTGTCGCTTCCGTCCCCGCTTCTTTTTTTTTTTTCTTTATTTCGCGTCCATAAGCGATACGCCCTCGCTTGTCATATCGAGTCGAGGATTTTTCAGTCGCGAAAAGCGTTCTTTGTAACGTGGTGAAAAATTGCGGGAATATATATCTACGAAACAGCAGTGTACATTTCGGTATTGCGCATTAAAAATTTGTTGCTCTTTTCTGGATCAGAGAAATCCACTTAACAGTATCCCTGATTTTCTATATGACGTTTATTACGATCGTTTGTGTGTATAATAGAAGCTCTCGGTGTAGATAAGTAGAAGTATAGTCAGACACTAACTATGATAAATTATTTCGACTTCCTGTCGCAGTTATAAAAGACATTACGTACTCCGCAAGAATTGCACTCGCTAAAAAATACTCTTCGTTACATCTTCCTACTCCCGCCATTACGATATGATACGATACTTGGACGAAGCAATGATTTTCGCACCAAGTCGATTAAAACAAACGGCCTATCTATACGTCGATTCATCAATCCGCGGTGTTTTCTTTTCGCGCCCTTTGGCTTCCTCTTTCTTCTCACAGTCAACTCTGTCAAAGCCCCGTTCTCTCTGTGTGCACACGTTCGCAAACACGCGGTCCGTGGGACCAAAGAGAGAAAAAAGAGAGAACGAGAGAAAGAGAGAGAGAGAGAGAGAGAGACGCGGGGGAAAAAGAAGACCCGGAGGACTCAATCGAGCGAAGCCAAGAGGAGACACGAACAGTCGGCGAAAGAGGATTTCCATCGATTTCCGATAATTCCGCTGATCGGTTGGCCGATAAAGTTCCACGGAATCGTTTCCCCGTCTAATTCCTCCGGACGAGTTCGTATAAATTCCGGCTGGCCATTTTCGCGCACAACCGGCTCCCCTTTCCCCCTCTATCACGATGTGTCTTTGATTGCTCGTACACGCTCGCCTCCTCCCTTCGTACTACGCTAATTCGCGAGCGCGCGCGCTATCTCTCCCGAGGCCGATTTTCCTCTCTTTTCGTTTTTATTCCTTCCCCTCGACGTCGCTGCGAGAGAGAGAGAGAGAAAGCGAGTGAGGAGAGTGGGAGAAAAGTAGCGTAACCAGATGAGCGCTTAATCGAGCGATATAACGCGCGCACGAGCTCGAGAAAAAGAAAAACTTGGCTAGAACGAGGGGCTGAACGGGGTGAAACGGAGTTGTTGCGCGCGTTTTGCTTTCTTTACGCGGATTACCCTTACGGTCCCCTCCCCGCCCCCTGGTTATTCAACCGCGGATAGTAATTCTTTGATAGATGAGATTTTAAGCTTCCGACGTTGTATTCAAAGCCGAATAAGCTTCCGGAATCTAAATTATCGAAATTCATTTTTCGCTGTTTCTGGTAGAAAATTGACGGAGAGCCTCGGCATTTCACGGCGATCATAACGAATGTAAGACGATTTCGTCGAAATTTAAGACACACGGAAGGTTCTTGTATTCCTGTGATAACAAACAACGTCCAATTTTGATGTACCAAACGTTTAGATATATCTTCTTTAACTTCTTGCGCGCACGTCGAGAACTGTTTGTCCCAAATTGCACCGTTTTCTCAGTTTCAAGTACATTTAAATGTAACCCAGGCGAAACAAATGATAAGTTTATTACTTCTTAATAATTTCTATCCAGTGATATCATACCGACGAATTCAATGGAAAAAGAAAGCGGCGAATTATTCTATACGGCTCGGTCACTCGTTATGGTCCGCGCAACCAGTTGCCAGCGCAAGGCTTTGTTAATAAACGAAGCCCATTCTTTCAATTATATCGCATCAATTTCCGAAATCATTTCCATCTCCGTAGATACATCGTTCGAAGAGTGAGAAGTTTCCAACCTCCCCTTTCTTCAGGATTCAGTGAAGCACAAATCAGAGATTTTGTATATTGCAACCTAATATCTCGATCGTCCCTCTGATATCCACGAAACGTTAACGTAACTCGACACACGCCCATCCGAAACTACCTTATCCGGTGGTATCTGAAACAAGGAGGAACAAGCTTTCGAACACCTACCCCAGGAACCAGCAACATCGACCCGGTCTCCCCTTCAACGAAGCTCGAAAACCTCGGCTAATCTCCGATCTATCACCGAATCTATCGGCCGCGCCTCCCGAACACGTCGGCCTCTGTCGAATTCTTTCTTCGTCGCTCGCCACGGGTAATCGCTCGCGGCAAATACCGGTCTAAACAACCCTCCTACTCCGCGTCTACGCGGGAAAGGAGCAAGAGTTCCGGGATTGCTGGAACTTAATTGAGCTACGTCACGCGACACGCGACCAGCGCGTTTTCCTGGGGGAAAAAAGCAAGCCCGAGCTCATCGGTTTCCGATAATTCGGAACGGAACGGAACGGAACGGTGTATCCGGTCCCGCCATCGAATCAGTCGCCGCAAGATCTACGCGAGGCTTCTCGTTAACCTCGGTGTAGCTGGGATAGTTATAGTCGTTTCTCTTGCCTGGATATCGGCTGCCTCTCGGTGCACA